CATCTCGGTTTTTCTCTCTTTTGCTCTCCATGTTTCGGTTTTATTAAAAGTTTTTATTTTTTCCTTACTTTAGTTACAATAATTGCATTTTTTCCGCTTGACTCTTACGAAAGGAGTTTATAATAATAGAGTTATATCCTTAAGTATTCGATGATCGCGCTTTATTCTCTCGCTGCTTTCACTTTTAGTTATATATTATTAATCGTTATTCGTTACCCTGTGTGCATATTGAAACGTCAGAAACATTTGCTCGGCGAGGTAGACTTGACGACGCTTTACACATTTATACAGACTATCTATATATTATGTATATGGACGTACAAAGTTTCGCTTCTCCGTACATACATATGATCGAGTTGGTGAAAATTTCATGCTCGCGTAAAAAGTGATTTTGATTTAGATAGGGAATCGTAAAAAATTGTCAAAACGAAATTTTTCATTTTATTATTTCGTGCATAAATTCATTCGACTGGATAAAAGTCGCCGCCAAGTCATTAGCCGTCTCTTACTTATGTGGATCTTGGTCCTATGTAACGATGAGTTTCGATAAGGAAAGTGAGAGAAATAATGAGAAAAACGCAATTTATATTTTGGAATCAACTTTTTCTTTAATACAATATCCTTCGTGTATAATTATCACGTGTAACCAAATGTCTGTCGTCTCACTAACCACATGAAAGTTTTTATTTGTAATNTATTATTATCATTGTTATTACAATTATCACAATAATAGAAATCATAATTATTAATATCATCATCATCACCATTAGCATCATAATTATGGTTATCTTCATTATATAATCGACATTGCCAGTATTACCATCTTTATCATCTAATCATAATCATTATTTTTATTCTTATTATCATCAATTATAATCATTATCATCATCATCATCATTATCATAATTTCGCCACGATCATTATCGTGTCTCTATTACCTGCGGCCTGGTCATACCTACCATTTTCGTCATTATCAACTTAATCACTATTGACATTGTTATTATTATTCGAATCATTATTAACATAATACTTATTTTTATTTTTTGCTTTATGATCATAGACGTCTCAATTATCCTTATCGTCTTCATAATTATTATAAATATTAACAACGTTATTATAATTTTAATGACATATCGTAATCATTATAATTATCGTTATCACTATAAATATCATAACATAATCATTAACATCAACATCACCTATAACATCACCATCGTTACCATCATCATCATCAATTTCTCCACCATCAACAATTTCAGCCTTACCATCATCATACCAACAGGCAGTTACCGTTGGGGAAGGATTCTCTCTAAAAATATTTATTAAACTAAGGAATTGTGAGATGTATACTGCAAAATATTGATCGTTCCTCTTACAAGGTATGACATCATTATTATTATCATTTTTATCACTATTATTATCATTATTTTTATTATTATTATCGACATCGTCATTATCATACCTATAATTATCATTATCATTATTGTTATCGTCATTAACATCATGGTTATTATTATTATCATTTTCAAGATAATTATCATCATTAATATCACCATTAATATCACTTTTATTATCATTAATGATCTTAATGATCTTAATGATCTTAATGATCATTAATGATCATAATGATCATGATGATGATGATAAAGATGATAATAATATTGATAATGACGATAACGATAACCATGATGATGATGATAATGATTGTAATGATAATGATGGTGGTAGTAATAATAAAGATAATAAACAAGTGGCAGAGGCATGCCATATCATGTGAGCATTGGTGCCACTTGTGCGTCAAAAAAATGCAAAAAGGAAAAACACTCAATCCGCGAACAAACCTCAGTCTTAGGCAAGGAAAACAGAATAATGCGCCATAACACACAAGTCGAGCCGTATTTGGGAACGGCCCTCGCGGACGCGATTACGCTCGAGTCGCGTCGGCGAGAGCCGCAAATCTTAGTCACTATACACATTACGCACATGCCCCACTAATCGACTCGACAGTGCCGACGCGCTCAACGAATTATAATCCAGCGAAGTAGCAATAATAGTCATTACATTACAATATTATAATAATAATAATAATAATAGTTAAAAAGGTTCAATTTTTTTCGAGGTGGTCGACACGACGTGTCTCCCGAAGGAAATGAGCGGCTAACAGATTTTTTTTTTCTCCTCCTCTCTTTTTTGTCCTTCTTTTCGTTTTATTTTTTTATATCCGGTGCCAACACACCTTGTAACGACGCGCTAGGTGCGATAAACCTAGATAACTTTGGCATGTCTTATCTCGCGAGTCCCCGTCACCGGCGCTTCCCAACCTCCTCTCTATTACTCAACTTTTTTTTCTCCTCCATCTCCCCCTCCCTCTTTCTCTATCGCAAACAAAAAAAAAAATCAACATTAGCGTAACGATCAAACAACAAAGAGAAATGAAAAGCAAAACAATTTTCCATTAGACAAAAGTAACATCGAAACGAGTCGAACAAGTCGAGCGCCAGATTCCGGGGGAGCTCGAACGATCCTGTTTACGCTCTAACATCGATTTCTCAAGATTTAAAAAAAAAGACTATTCGACACACCGGGTTTTGTTTCAACGCTGCAAACAACAATACTCGCGCTCGGGCCCTTACTTGTACGTATATAAGTATTTAAGCTACAAAATTTCGACAACCGCTCAAACGTCGCGTCAAATTTCAATCAAAACGTTAATCGTATATACGTATTTAAAGACAATGACAATAAAATAATCGTGTATCCCATAATGATAATAATAAAAATAATGACAATAGTAATATTAATAATGATAATAATAATAATCGTCGTCACAATGATGGACAATAATGATACAGTGCGCACGGCAAAGGATAACGCGAGGAAATAAGTAGAAGACAATATATAGTACAAAAAAAGGAGAAGAAGAACAAAAAAAAGAAAAAAAAAAAAACGCCGTAAAAAGAAGAGGACGCGAGAAGCCTCGATCATTCGAACTACATGTATGTGTATAAATTATGTACAGGTGTGCGTTCGTTCGCGTCTACGCGGCGAGGTCGCGAGGACACATTCGGGACGATGGAGATAACAGAGCGCACATATACACATAGGTATATAGAGAAAGGAGGGAGAGGGTCGCGCGATCGATCGCGGCACGCCTCGCTCCCTCTCTTTCGGCCGCAAAAACTCTGTTGACTCTCTGCTGGATGCTGTGCACGTATATATATATATATATACGTACACTGCTACTGGCCTTCTCTCCAGCGACTATTGCCCTCAAACGCTCGAGAGTCTCGCGACCGGCCATTACACTGCCGTCGTTACCGCCTCGTATACCATATCACCATCATCATCATCACCATCATATTATACCGTATAATATGCGGCAACGAGCTCGCTTTCGTAAATCTACTTTGCGTATCTCCAACTTTGTTTGCACATCGAATTTTTCCCATGTTACGATGAAATTTCACATTCTCGAGTTGGCATACGTGCAACACTGGTCTTGTGAGTATCGTAAACAAAGCAATTTTATTGTTTTTTAAATAAAAAAAATAAAACATCTTCAATGAAATTGGTGGATGGTTGATCGGGGAGAGAAAAGGATTAATCAACGATGAAAAAGACTGCTTGTATGTTTTTTTTTTTAAAAACAATGTCGTTTATTTGAATCGCACAAGACATACACCGTAATCGCTATGTTATAATTAACCGGCCTCTTCGACAAAAGTTCGGTCAAAGACTGAATCGCACAAAGAACTTTGGCCGCACGTCGCCCGAACGATCGTTCCTTATATTTTTACTCTCATCGTATTGCCTTAATATGTCGATTCCCGGCTCGTTGGTACGTGCTCGCTGTGCTCCGAGCGTCTGTATTGCAAACCTGATACAAGTAACAAACACGCGTTACTTTTTTTATTTTTTTTTTTCATAGTTTTTACACTCGTAGCATCAGCTTTGGGCACTTCCAGCGCGCCGAGATACAGATTTATTTATTTACCCTGGATCAGAAACAGTGTTTATTAAAATCGATTCCTTCAGCGCTTCAATTTTCATCTCGGTTTTTCTCTCTTTTGCTCTCCATGTTTCGGTTTTATTAAAAGTTTTTATTTTTTCCTTACTTTAGTTACAATAATTGCATTTTTTCCGCTTGACTCTTACGAAAGGAGTTTATAATAATAGAGTTATATCCTTAAGTATTCGATGATCGCGCTTTATTCTCTCGCTGCTTTCACTTTTAGTTATATATTATTAATCGTTATTCGTTACCCTGTGTGCATATTGAAACGTCAGAAACATTTGCTCGGCGAGGTAGACTTGACGACGCTTTACACATTTATACAGACTATCTATATATTATGTATATGGACGTACAAAGTTTCGCTTCTCCGTACATACATATGATCGAGTTGGTGAAAATTTCATGCTCGCGTAAAAAGTGATTTTGATTTAGATAGGGAATCGTAAAAAATTGTCAAAACGAAATTTTTCATTTTATTATTTCGTGCATAAATTCATTCGACTGGATAAAAGTCGCCGCCAAGTCATTAGCCGTCTCTTACTTATGTGGATCTTGGTCCTATGTAACGATGAGTTTCGATAAGGAAAGTGAGAGAAATAATGAGAAAAACGCAATTTATATTTTGGAATCAACTTTTTCTTTAATACAATATCCTTCGTGTATAATTATCACGTGTAACCAAGTGTCTGTCGTCTCACTAACCACATGAAAGTTTTTATTTGTAATATCTCTCGGTTATACGTACCAATAAACTTTTCGAAACGCGGGTGGCGTATTTATTGACCAATCGATGTCTCGCAGGTTTTTTTTTTTTTTTTTTTTTTTTTTTTTTTTTTTTGTTTTCAAGCGAGTGCGTACGCGCATACTTACTTATGCTTATATATTATATAGGGGTATGTAACGAAGCACGGGCGCCGCCATGTCGAAATCGGCTCGCGTAGATTGTTGCGGAGAGAGAAAGATTTGTAGAGTTGCAGCTTGCAGCGTGAAATAGTCAAGTCAACACATGCAATTACAAGGACTTGTATAGTTCGGTCCAGACTCCAGAAATCAGAGTCTCAACACTCAACCTCAACCTCGAGCTTCGAGACGTGACAAAACCAAACCCCGTAGCGGGCGTGCGCGCGCGCGCCGAGTATATATAATATTATAGGCTCTCAAAGGAGTATCCGGACTCGGCAGCTGCGACAGCCGCGAGTCATCCCCGAGAGTCGAAGGAATCCTACCGACGAAGAGGGCACGCGAGAGAGCATCGGGCTGGCAGGTTCTCTGCAGCAGCTCTTTACTCCCGGCTAACGCTCGTCAACGTAGAATGAGCGGCGAGCAGGAGGCTACGGACAGCAGGCTAACCACCCAGGAGGAACCAGGAGCTATGGGCGACGTCCTCACCAAGGAAGACCAGCAGCAGCACCACTGTGACTCCGAGGCTGTTTTAGAGCAGCATCAATCCCTCGAGCCTGTCGTGTCCTTCACCGAGCCCCAGCTTCTTAACCACCAGCCGCTTCTTACAGAGGTAAGCCACCTCTATATTGGTGCAGGAACCCTTGCCATCCTTTCGGTTCTATTGGCTTAGTTGTTATCACGTCCTTCGTGGAAATACTTTTAAGACGATGCTTATTGAGATTTCTTGCATCTTATAGCCATAGACCAGATACCCAAGATGTATTGCGATCATTGTGCTGCTTATCTGTTATCATATGTTCTTTTGTAATACATTTTAACAATAGTAAATAGTATTTGTTTCTTATTTTTAGATTATGGATGTAGATAAAGTAGAGTTGACAGCACAGGCAGTGCTGAGTAGCCAAGTCAGTGTTGACAGTGATTTGATGAGCTTGTTTAAGCCCTATGAAAATGCCATTAATAATGGCACTGGTACAATGGAAATTGTCCAAAATGATGAGTACTTATTGTGTAAAGAGCAATGCCTAGCCAATGACAGCTCTACTGTTGATGATTTATGTGACTGTAAAGAGTGCAAGTGGAAAAAAAGGTGCTAGTACCAATATTTCTTTTAAACCTTTGTTTGTAACTCCCATCTTTATTAAAATTGTTGTTACTTTTCAAAATGCAGAGATTTATCTAAAGAAGACTTTGAAGAAATGATCAAGTGTAAGCATCTCGGTGTAAACTTGAGGCATTACATAGGTTCCACATTTCATTGGTTTATGGAAACGTCAGGATTTTCTGGAAACCCATCTACAACACTGCCTCAGCCTCAAGATCTAGATTCCATTGAAAATCTTGATGAACTCAGAAAGTCTGTGGTTTTGTATGTACTTGTCATCATGGTCATTATAGTGAAAATAAGTTGAAAACTTGTTAAATTATTGTACTAAAGTCTATGTTAATGTTGTAGATTGTGCGAAAAAGTACCTTATCAATTGTTCATGTGGTTGGTCGGACAAGCCCAAGAATTTGTGATAGGTGTTAAGGTTCAATTGTTGACACTTTTGTATGACCGCAGCGTTGGTAACTTAGCAGAAGTTTTTATAACAAGTAATTTTTAAATTTTATTCATACATCATAAGAAATTGATTTTTAATGTTAGCTTTACTAATTTGTCTTATTCACCAGAACTTTTAGACGGATATGAAGCCTTGTTAGCTACAGCTGTACATATTTCCGATTTACTACAGCCTTTGCAAAATGAACTTTTTAGTAAAGTCAACTTAACGTGGAGTTACATTAACAAAAGTTTATACCAAAATTATGTTTTTAGCGACCCTTTGATACAAAATAATTTACCTTCGTATCTTGGACAGGTAACTTCAGTCACTTATATATTTATTCAAAATTACTCGATAGCTGAGGTAGCAAATTAAAATTTTTCAGTTGAAAGAATGTATGAAAGAAGATAATTCGAACAAACATCTTCTAGATCGTTACTTTGCGTTCAACGATGAAATAACTAAAATTGGATCTTTGTGTCCAGAAATTGAACGTCTCATCGACAAGTACAAGTAAGTTTTTCATTTCTCATGAAATCAATGTTATTTCAAACATTTTTACTCATCTGTATTTTATTTCAGTGCTGAACAAGTAACTGGTTCTGTGATGAAAAAAGTTCGCGAAGATTTCGAGCGATTCAAAACGAGATTAAAACTCGATTTGCCCATTTACACTGATGAAAATTTAGAATTCATTAAGGAAGTGGATGACAGGTTCGTCAGAAAAAATAAAATGCAATATAACCATTTGTAAATAATAATTACAATTTTTATTGAAACTTGATCAAAACGTAAATTAAAATCTTCAGTGTACGTTTTTTTTTTTTTTTTTTTTTTTTTTTTTTTTTTTTTTTTTTTTTTTTTTTTTTTTTT